GGCCGTGCTGCTGCGCAACAGGCAGGTGAAGAACACCACCAACCTCTTCATCCTCAACCTGGGGGTGGCCGACCTCTGCTTCATCCTCTTCTGTGTCCCCTTCCAAGCCACCATCTACACCCTGGAGGGCTGGGTGTTCGGGCCCTTCATGTGCAAGGCCGTCCACTTCTTCATCTACCTCACCATGTATGCCAGCAGCTTCACCCTGGCCACCGTCTCCCTCGACAGGAAAGGGGATGGGGGGCTCCCTGTACCCTGAGGCTCCCCCCTCTCTGGATCCCCCCTGTGCAGGAGAGGGGACAGAGTCCCCAGAGCCAAGCCCCGATTGCTGCAACCTCCTGAGGCTCCGGGGGGAGTCCAAGAGCATTGCCCAGTTCATGTGTGCAAGGAAATGCAGCCACTGAGGATGGGGTCCAGCAGAGAGGGCTGGATTGGGACCCCTGTCCCCAGTGCCCAGCTGGAGGACACTTTCAGACCCCGAAGCTGTAGGACCCTGGTTTATCCGCAGGCTCTGGCAGCTGAAGGGGGGATAGAAAACCAGAAAGAAACAAAGCTCAGTACCTGTGCAGCCCTGGCTCTTCCTGGGATGCAAAAAAAAACCTGCCCTCCCAACAGCTCATGGCAAAGCAGGTAAACCTCAAGAAGGAGAAGACACAGGCTGTTTGAGCTGGGACACTGCTTTTCCCACTCTCCCCTTTTATTAACAACCATTTCTGTCCTAGTGATGCCCCTTGTCCCAGTGACTGCCCCAGCCTGGCCCAGGTGAGTTTTAGCCGGGAAGCTCTGTAAAAGGCAGCCTGTTGCTCCTGCCTGTGCTTTACCTGGTGCTAGCTCAGCCCCTGGCTCTCCACAGCAAGCAAGAGGCAGGGAGCTCCTGGTGCTGCTCTGCTCGGTGCTCAAAACCCATGAGAGTGGGATATGGAAAGTCCCCTGGGAAGATCCGCGGCAGCCCCAGAGCAGGGCTGGATGCCTCCTGCCATCCCGGCACAGCACCACGCTGGCTGCTGGGACAGCCCCTCCCAAGACCCCCGCGGAGCTAAACCAGACCCAGGGTCTGCCTCTCCTCCTGCATCCCACATTGCTGGGAGGAGCGGAGGTGTCGAGCAAGCGGGGGCTTGCATGAGCCCCTAGATCTAGGTATAATTAAGGAACCAGCTCATTGCAGAACTGAAAGTGGGTGACATGCTTTTCCATGTGCCAGTGTGAGGAACACGGTGTCTGGGGATCCTGGGGACTTGCTCCTGCCTTCATATCCTCACTGTTGCTATCGCTTGTGCCAGACAGACTGATGATCAAGTGAGGATCTGCTGGATTAGGGAGAGGGACAGAAGAGGACCATCCCCATCTTCCCCACAAGTGCTGCTGGGACCAGAGAGGGTGATGGGACAGGGTTGGGGGAGAGGATCCTCCTCACCCTGCTGGGAGCCTTAGAAGCACCAGGGAATCAAATATAGGGCTAATTGCCCTGGAAAGCTCAAATCCATCCCCACTTTTACCCGTTCTCCAATCTGCTCCTGGAGCAGCTCTCCATGTCCTCCCCAGGACTGCAATCGTGTCTCCCTCCCTTTCCCATGCAGGTATTTGGCCATACGATACCCCTTGCACTCAAGGGAGCTGAGGACACCCAGAAATGCCCTCACAGCCATCTGCTTCATCTGGGGGCTTTCCTTCATCTTCTCGGGCCCTTACCTCAGCTACTACCAGGAGTTCCAGTTGGCCAACCTGACCGTCTGCCACCCCATCTGGGAGATCTCCCAGCGCAAGGTCATGGACATCTGCACCTTCATCTTCAGCTACATCATCCCAGTGCTGATCCTGAGCCTCACGTACGTGCGGACTATTCGCTATCTGTGGAGGTCTGTGGACCCTCTCCAAGACATGTCAGAGTCCAAGAAGGCCAAGCGGAAGGTCACCAGGATGATCATCATTGTAGCCATCCTGTTCTGCCTCTGTTGGCTGCCCCATCACCTGGTCATCCTGTGCGTCTGGTTTGGGTACTTTCCCCTCAATCACGCCACGTACGTGCTCCGCATCCTCTCGCATCTCATCTCCTACGCCAACTCCTGCGTGAACCCGATCGTCTACGCCCTGGTCTCCAAACACTTCCGCAAGGGCTTCAAGAGGATCTTCATCTGCCTCTTGCACAAGAAGGCAGCCAACAAAGTGCATGTGGCCCAAGTGACAAACACCGTCAGCATGTTGGGGGCAGAGCTCAGCGAGGTGACCCACACCAGCGAAGCCCTGCCCGGCCACTCCTCCCTGCGCTGCAAGGTCCCAGCCCAGCCCTGGGGGGAGGCAGAGCCGGTGGGACATGAGCAGAAAGCAGATGGCTCCTTCATCACCTTCAATGTCACCTAGCAGAGCTCTTTCCCACCCCACGGCTTTGCAGTCTCCCGCAGCATCACAGGCCTGGGGGTGGGCTACATTTTGAGTTAAAATGCATCAAATTGTACCCTTTTTCATTCAAATGCACCCAGATATCATAACTGTTAAAGCAATGCTGCTGACTACGGACTCAGACAAGTGACTGACTGAGGATCCAAGGGCAGGATTTGCTTCCACCAAGCACTTGCTGAGAGCAGAGAGATCAGACCCCCAAATCAACTCTCATGTGTAATCACCTGCTTCTCTGTCACGGATGGACTTACACCCTGTTGCATCTACACCTGGAGCCTACTGAAAGCTCTGGTTCCTCCAACCAACACAGTGTCTGGCTGGAGTGAGCAGGGTGCACTTTTAGGGACATTGGGGAAGTCTCAGTTTGTTTGTGTCCCAGTTCAGGAGCTGTGTCCCAGGGCAATGCTGGCCACAGCCACCTGGGCATAAACCCGGCTCAGGTAGGAAAATCCAGGAGAGAAGCATAGAAATCAAGAGACAAACCTTCATGGCGCCACTGGTGCCGGCTGGGCTTTGACATCTCCCTGGGGCTTGTGGCTTGGGGGAGGTTTCCCTGAGATGGAGCATGGCTGGAAGCAGCATCTGTAGCTGAGACGAGTGCCATAGCCCAAGTACGGGACTGTTGAGGGCACAGGGAACACGCCCCGCGCTGCTGACCATGGTTCATCCCTGCCATTTCAGTACGTGTGAGGCTCTGCAGAGTGTCTGGAGGTCACCAAGGTGGGAAGGGAGGCTGTTTGCTGGAGGAGCATAGCCATGGCCCCATGAGAGAGGTTACGCTGCCAGGGGAAGTGGAGCAGGACGTCAGCAGGTCAGCGCTGGAGGAGGATTTTAATGATTTCAGATAGCTTGGGCACAGCTCAGCATCTCAGCCCAGGCGAGGTGCTTGCAGAGAAGAGCAAAGCAGAGCGCTGGCACTGCTTTCCTGCAGCAACGGTGTGGGGCCAGACAGCTGGGGCTGTGTGAGTGCTGGGGGACCCCAGCCAGCTCGGGAAGCCACAATAAAGCCCTCCATCCTGCATCCCGTGTCCTGCTCCCTTGAGACACCCTGTGGTCCACAGCAGAGGAGAGGTGGGTGCTGGAGGGGTGGTGGGACCCGCTGGCCCAAAGGGAAGCTGCAGGCAATGGGGGAGCAGAGGGTGTGGGTTGTCTCCGAGCACATCCATCCAGGAACGGCCCCGCACTCCCCTTAACGTGGCCGTACCCACGCACAAGAGGCCAACGCGACTCACGGGCCCCCGGCTCTTACCACTGCAAAGGCTCCGCGAGCGGCTGAGCCCTGCGACCACCAGCAGCCGAGGGCTTTATTTAAAGATCCATCGTTTTCTGTACCAGAAGAGCATCACTGGAATAGAATCAATTAACTCTTTTGAAAACCCCGCAGCAGGGCACAGCCAGAGGAGGTGGTGAAAGCGCATGGGTGCTGGGATGAGCTGTGCTGAGCTCCCTGCAATTCCCAGGTCTGTAACCCGACAGAACCAAGCACCTGTGAAGATCAGGTCTCTACAGATTGCCATTACAGAGGGTGTAAGTCTGTCTGCACAGATTTCCCTCTTTGTGAGTCCCCATAGCAGAGCTCGCCAGGACCAGGACGCGTTGCAGGAGGCTATTTCTCTCCGGGACCCTGGCTCTCCCCAGGGGTCTGCTCCAGGGTCCGGGTCCCAACACAGCCCTCCTCCACACCGCACTGCCCTCCACCCGTCCCCAGTGCTTGGCCTTTCTTCCCGGAAAGCTTTTGGCTGCCAAACATTTGTCTTCCCCTGCTGAGCGTTATTATAACCAGATCTTCCTGTCCCCACACAGAGGGCCATAAATCAGCCGCTGCTTCATATCAATAATCGTTATATTTAGTCTAGGCCTGCTTGCGCCATAAGTCAGAGAGCGAGTGTATAAACAGCTCCATTACTTATATCTGCGTTTATCTCCCCTGCTCAACCCTTCTCAGCCAGGGAAAACAGTGAATCAGTCACGCAAACATGGCTGAAAGCCCTGTCTTCCTCCTGCCCTCATCCACCTCTGCTCAGAGAGCCGCAGGATCTGGCTCCATGGATCCCCCCCCCACCGAGGGGTTCAGCCCCCTCTCCTGGACACAGTTATCATCTCACCTTGGGGACGGAGCTGTTGTCCCACCACCTCTGCACTGCCCAAGGACAGGGGTCCCTGTGCTGGCATGGCTGGGGGTGCAATGTCCCCTGTCCCTTCGTGCCATCACAGAGGAGACACTGACCCCACTCCCCTCCTTCTCACCCCCCAGACCTGTTTTCCCATCACACCTGGCTGCACCCGCATATCTCAACCCGGGATGCTGCAGGGCATCACGGTGCCAGTGCTGGGGCCACACCATGGGAAGCCCCACGGAATCGGTGCTTGCTTTCAAGCCCAGGTTGCTCCTCTTCACGCAGGGCTGAGTTCCCAGAAAGGACAGGAGTTACTCCTGAGTTCATCTTTTTATAGCATTCACAAGAAAATAAAAATAACTGGCTCACAGATGTACAAGCCAGCCAGCAAACCTCAATCCATGCATCGTGCCCCCATGAGGGGCTCAAAATCCACCCAGAAAGAGCCTTTGCCTTGGGCTGGTACCCGGGACTCTTGCCTCACCATGGGTGAGAGCTGGGGTGTTGGGGGGAAGGACCCGAGAGGAGGAGCAATCCCCCAGGGCTGTGCTGGGGCTGCTGCTGCTCACTGTGACCCAGCACACAGTGCCCAGTCCCGGGGGACTCACGGGGAGCAGGGCCAGGCAGAGGGGGGCCAGCTGTGCCCCAAACTCTTCCTCCAGCCCAAGGGAGGCTCCTGGTGCCACCCCTGAGCTGACTGTGGGAAAAGCTGGAGCCAGAGCATGGCCACTGACCTCTCAAACGGCCAGCACCAAGCTGTTCCCAGGCTGGGAGACGACTCCAAGCAGCAAAGCTAGGTCTCTGGGGACCCACTTCTCGCAGCCACATGGGATCCTTAGGCAGCAGTGTGGCCACCATGGAACAGCCAAAGAAGAGGAAGACGACTCTGATGGGTGGCTCTGACCCCAGGTGACAGCACTCCGGCTGCGCAGGCATTGAATCCTGCAGTCCCACCCTGGCAAAAGCAGGCTCACAACAACCGGCAGGAGAAAAGTGCTAAATTATCATGGATTTTGTAAACTCAGTTTGTTTCCTGGTATTTTGGCATTGCAAGGGAAAGGAGGCTCAAAATAGCATTAGCAGCTTAGAACCATGACTACGAGTCAGAGGAGGAAAGGGGACAATGGGTCACCGCTTCAAAACAGCTCATCAGAACCACACACATTCCAACAACATCACTGCTTGCTGCTCTGCCTCAGCTCGGCTTTGCCACAGGCAGCTGCTCAGTTTGCAGCTTTGGGTCTTTTTGAGGAGCCCCAACATTGCCATAACACCAGCCCTGTAAGCAGAGCCCTGGTACGCAGGTGGTCTCGCCCCACTGCAAGGCTCATGTCCACCCTGGCAGAAATGAGTTTAGGAATAAATGATAATAATAATAATTAAAAAATCAATGGGAAAAGGGGTGGGTTTTGCAAATCCCAGGGGCAGGGGTGCAGGCTGTAGGGCACTGGGCCAGCTTCACAAACAAGCTGCTGATGGCTGCAGGTACAACATGGCTGGAGCATCCCACAGCCTGTCTGTCACCCACATCTGACAGCAGCAGCCTAGATGCTGGGAAAAGGTGCAAAGGACAAATAGCTGTGCAAGAACAAACTAGCACCTATGCAACAGCCTGCCCACAGCACCTCCTGCCCTAAATTACATGGGAGCCATCTCCTGCACTGCCTCAGGGGACACCCAGCCCTGGGCATCCTCCTAAGCATGAGCTGCGCGTCCACCGCCGTACCCCACAACCTGCCAGCATCCTCCCAAGCAAGGGAAAGGCAGGAAGACAAAATGAGAGGGAAGCAAAGCAATAATGACATAAATAAAGCCTTTGCCAAAGTGTGGCAGAGCTAGTTCCCCAAAGATAAGAGTCGGGAACTGTCTTCAGCTGGAGAGATGTGAAAGCAACACCCTGATACCGCAGTCAAACACAGAATCAGTGCAAGCGAATGTGCGCACATGTGGTGTGGACATGCAAAAGAGCCCAGCAAAGAAAGGACAAGCAATTTTTTTTTAAGCATCACAAGGATAGTGATTTGTGGAGACTTCCAGCACATCCACTAATCGCGTTTAACACAACCTCCCCCCAAAAAATCAACTTCAGTGACTCCTTGCTGCCCAGCTCCCTTGTGCAGGGAGGACGGAGCTGTACCCTGGAGACACAACAGGTCCCTGTGGAGTGAGGCCCCGAGCATCTGTAAGGCATAGCCAGGGAGAACGTTGCTCCCTTCACCTGCATACAGACGTTTCCCCACGTGCTGCTCATGCTGGGGCTCAGCAGGGTCCAGGCACCGAATGGGGATGGCTCAAGGGGACAGTAGAAAACCAATGTACAGAGGAAGGAGTTTGGAAGCACAGCTCTGGTCTGCACAAAGCTGCCCCCAGCCTTTCCAACAGCTTCCCAAGCCTGTGGCTGAGCTCTGCTCCGCCATATAACTGCTCTAGAGCTGCCCAACCACCCCCGTGACTGAAGACACATCCCAGGACACCCCTAACTCAGCTCCCAGCCCAAAGCATCACTCACTGTGTTCTCTCCCCAGGCCACGGGCATGCCCAACACCAGCTCATTTCTGGTCACTGTTCAACAGCAAGACCCCAGAGGGTGACGGTGGGCTGGGGGCAGGCTCTGCACAGCATCTAGCTGGGGGGCTGCACCTCACACTCCTGCCTCCAGCACCCCCAAATCCCCTCTGACACACACTGCTGTTCACACGGCTGCTCTCACCCTCATGTAGGAGCAACAAGGTTCTATCTGATATTAGACAGCAAGGTCCAGGCTTTTGCAGGTCTCTGCAGTGTAACACATCCAAGCTGCCCTCCTTGTCTTATGGATCCTCGCCCATCGATTGATATTTGCTTGTTTGCAGGCAGCAAGAATGAAGCCTGTGCCAGCTGCTGGATCATTACACCATTTACAGGATGGTACAGAAATAGAGAAAAGGTAAAAGCATCTCTCCAGCTTATCTGCAGTTGCCCCTGCTCATCTGAGGATGAAACCATCGCCCTCCCACCCAGCTTGTGCCTTGATCAGCCCTTCAAGGGCAAGCACAAAGTTTTGCTGCCAACACAAATCCACGGTGGGAAGCTACTTTCCCCCAAGCAAGGGGGTGTATCAGGTCAGCTGGGAAAGGCAACAGCATCGTGACCTGCCACTGCTCAGTGCCTTCCCGGCTGAGTGAGGATGGGCTCCTGGTCTGTCCCCTTGGGAGGTTTTATCTTAAATGAACACCACTGCAAGTCCCCATGTTCCAGTTAAAGTTTAATGAAAGCAGATTCAACTGGCAGTGGAAAATAAATAGGCTAAACTCGGCTCCCATCAAGTCCAACAGCGGCCAGGGAGATGAGAGGCACTTGGCTGAAACCTCAGGTTAGTGCGAGCTTTCCAGCACACGGATTTATTGCTGGGGTTGCAGAAGTTGTTTTGGTTTGTGGTTTTGTTTTGTTTTCACACACTTATTCTGCCAAATTTGCTCCCCAGTATGACGAGGCAGCCAAATGGAGCGGGGGCGGGGTGAGGCTCTTGAGCCTCCCACCTTCGTCTCTGCTGTTCACAGCTCCCAGCTGCAAACCACACCAGTAGCAGCCCTGGGTGGCTGCAGGGACCCCAAAGCCAGTCCCCATCCCAGCGGGGTTTGACAAACCCCTTTTGCTGCCCCAAAATAATGGTTGGTGCCAAGGAAACCATGAGAGCAGGTAGCACACTCAGGCCCTGGCACATTCCCCCAGCCTGGCCCACTGCAGGAAAAAAAAAAAAAAAAAAAAAAAAA